GGTGCCGCGCCGAGACCTCCAAGATGCCTTTGAGTACCTGAAGGCCCGTCTGGAAGCAGCTGAGGAGGAGCTGAGGAGCTTTCAGGAGAAACCGGGAGAGGACTCGAGCCAGGTCGGTTTGTCTTCTGTGGTGCCATCTGTTGTTTCCTGCGAGACTGGGATGCGAAGGAAGTCAGGGCACCACTGTCTAATGCAGGGGTCCCCAATGTGGTGCCAGTGGGCACCACTACACCTTTCCTGGTGCCGGCCCAAGTGCTTTTGGAAAGTGGGTGGGGCCAAGGAAGGCTTTTGACCAGCAAGTCTTCTGATTGGCCGCTGGAGATTTGATTGACTGTGTGGATTGTTTTAAGACATTGCTTTGGCTGCGGCTGCCGCAACAACCCCAAGGGTCTTCAGTGAGTGACTGAAGGTGAGCTGTGGCGGCAGCCATTTTGTGGCTTTGCCTCCTGTGGCCGCCATTTTGCAGCTGCGGCCACCACCCTGTAGCTGAATTCCAGAAGTGACCGCAGGCTCAGAAAGGTTGGGGACACCTCTGTCTAATAGCTGTGGCGAAGTGGTGATTTAGCAAGGGGAGCCCTTCCTCGTTTCAGTGGGACAAGCCTCACCTGCCGAAATCCCTCCCTTTTCTGTGCATCCAGTCATTCCATCATAGGGGTGGGCAGAAGAGAGAGGACCAGGGGTCATTTGGGGGGGGGACGCGGGGGGACGCCATCCCCCGGGTGAGGTGCGGGAGGGCGGAGCCTGGAGCTCCCTGCTGGTGCCCGCTGGAGGTCGCCGCCGGCTGTGGGGAGGACACACTTCCGGTGATGTCAGGGGGTGTGGCATATGCTAATGAGTTATGCTAATGAGTCCCCCTAGCTCTTTTTCTACGAAATGACCCCTGGAGAGGACGCATCTTGTGAAGTGTTTTTGCCATTTGAAACATGACCCCTTTTCTGACTATCATGGGGGGCTCAAAAAGAGGCTAAAATATTCATCCAGGCAGTCATGCTCTTCCCCAGCTTATACCCCGAAAATATTTAGACTCCAGTGGCACCCACAAAGGTTTCTTCAAGGTATGAGCTTTCCTATTACACTCAAGTCTAACGTCTGTGGTGTTTTACATTTTTTTGATTATGTGGTGGTGGTGGGGGGGGTTTGGCTATTCTTCCAAGGAGCTCTGGATGGCATACGTCTGAGCTAATCTAAGACAGAGGTATCTCTCCGTCTCTCTCATCCTCACAACAATGCTCATGGCGTTGGCTACGCTGAGTGGGAGTGTCTGGGGCGAGGCAAACTTCATGGCTGAATGAGGGTTTGAACTTTGGTCTCCCAGATCTTGATCTGACACACTTGCCACTATGCTGCCGCGCAGTGTCTCCTGCCAGCTAGGGTTGCCAACCTGCAGGTGGCACCTGGAGACAACCAAGATCAGTTCTGCTGGAGAAAATGGCTGCTTTGAAGGGTGGATTCTGTGGGCTTATACCTCACTGAGGTCCCTCTCCTCCCCAAAGCCCACCATCAACAGGCTTCAGCCTAGGGTTGCCAATCCCTAGTTTTGGGCATGGCACCCCCCAGTTTGGAGCCCCTCCCCCTGCTTCAGGGCTATCAGAAAGCGGGGGGGGATAGCTGCTGGGCGCTCCATTATACTCCATGGAGACCGGTCCCCATAGGGTATAACGGAGAATTGATCCGTGGGTATCTGGGGCTCTGCTGTTTTTTTGAGTTTGAGGCACCAAATTTTCAGCATACCTGCTGGTGCCTCTCCTCAACCCCCCCCCCCCAAGTTTCAAAAGTGATTGGAGCAGGGGGTCCAATTCTATGAGCCCCAAAAGAAGGTGCCTCCACCCTCCATTATTTCCAATGGAGGGAAACCATTTAAAAAAGAATGCCGTCCCTTTAAATGCGACGGCAGCTCACCCAGAACTCGCTTCAGAGTTCCCTCTCCTGGAGCCTCCTGGTAAGTCTCCCTCCCGCTTGTCAGCCTCACCTGGCAACCCTCCTCCAGATCGCCCCCTTCTCCAGGTATTTCCCAGCCCAGGGCCGGCAGCCCTACTACCGGCATGTACTCTTCTGACCTTCCAAGCCTTACGTTAGATCTGCTACGGACCCCCAAAGCAGGGAGAGAACTTTTCTGAAATATTTCCTTGCCTTCCTCTCCGTGTGTCTGTGGTGTAGGAGGCTGGAGCTCAACCTAAGAAGGCCGTCAGTAGCCAGGAGCGGCTGATTCAGCAGCTGACAAGGAGTCTGCACAGCAAGGAAGGGGTGTTGCAGGTGAGAGGGAGAGAAGGAGCCGAATGAACACGGCAGGACGCAGGGGGCTAATCTTTATGGTCTACAGAGAACCTCAGAGGCTGCGCATGGCACAGAAAACAAGTCAAAAAGATAAAACTTAGCTTCCTCTGAAGTGTTTATTCGATAAACCCCAGACTTAGAGCATGTTTTAATTTTGATCAGTACATACTAGCTAGGTAAAGGTTTCCCTTGCTCAAAAGCCAGTCGAATCCGACTCTAGGGGTGCGGCGCTCATCTCTGTTTCCAAGCCAAAGAGCCAGCGCTGTCCGAAGACGTCTCCGTGGTCATGTGGCCGGCATGACTAGACGCTGAGGCGCACGGAACGCTGTTACCTTCCCACCGAAGCAGTACCTATTTATCTCCTTGCAATTTCTTGCTTTCGAACTGCTGGGTTGTCAGGAGCTGGAACTAGTGATGGGAGCTCACTCTGTTATGCAGCACTCGGGTCTCGAACTGCTGAACTACTGACCTTCCGGTTTGTAGTTCAGCGTCTTAACCACTTGAGCCACCGCAGCCCCAAATACTAGCTAGTTGAACTCAAATTCTTTCATTTATATAAGATGGTTGCTAATCAAACTGTATTATTAGAAAACATGTTAAGAGTTTTAGTTAAGTTTTTAAAAGGTACACTGAATAAGTATATCAAGAATATTACTAATGTTAAATTGTATTGTTTGGGATTCTCTGCATCAATCGTTTTATATTTATTTAATAAAAATTATTTACAAAATTTAAAAAGTGATGAAACCTGCAGGGTTGCAGTTCCACAAAGATAAGGGCAGGAATCCACCAGAAGTCCGCAGTTTGATTTTTGTGGTTGCTCAGCAAGAGAGGGTGGGGCGGTATCCAATGTTCCCTCTAAGCTAAGTTAGTGTGAGCTAGCTCACACTAACTTAGCTTAGAGGGAACACTGGCGGTATCCTGGCTGTCTCCAGACCCCGGAGGGAGCTCTGACCACTGGGGCCAAGGGTAATGACACTGTTTCATTGGCTCGAATGAGAAGAGCTGAACAAACCCATTCAGAAAATCCTGCATGGCACCTCCTTTCTTGGATGGCACCTGTTCAGACTGCAGGAAGGAGACTTCACGGAGAGGAGCCAAGGTGGAAAAATAAATAGCCCCGCCTGTGGAATGCTAGCCTATTTAGGGAAGAGTTTTCTCAGCAAGCAGCTAGTTTTCTTTGTGCACAGATTTTTTAAAAATTCTGACTAAGCCAAAGGGAGGGGCCGCGGTGGCTTAGAAGGTACTGCAGACCGGAAGGTTGGTAGCTCGGCAGTTTGAGACCCGAGTGCCGTGTGACAGAGTGAGCTCCCATCTCTGGCCCCAGCTCCTTCCAGCCTAGTGGTTCGAAAGGAAGAAATTGCAAGTGGATAAATAGGCACCACTTCGGTGGGAAGGTAACAGCGTTCCGTGCGCCTCGGCGTCTCGTCATGCCGGCCACATGACCACGGAAACATCTTCGGACAGCTCTGGCTCTTCGGCTTGGAAACAGAGATGAGCACCGCAACCCTAGAGTCGGATTTGACTGGCTTTTGAGCAAGGAAAACCTTTACCGTTACCTTTTAAGCCAAAGGGACATAGAAGATTTGGTGAAGAGCACTGGTGAGAAATGAAACAAGAGAATGAGGAAGCCAGGGCTGCTGCTGCATCTTCCTCCCTCCTCCTCCCCCCCCCCCAGGCTGGGCGGCAGGTTTCCGTGGCCTCTTAACTGGTGTGTCAACCAAAAATGAAACAGCAGAGCTTTATTCCCCTCCCTGGCTGGAAATACAGTGTTGGGGAAGGCTTCATCTGCTGAGTTTTGGCC